CCTTCTCCCTACACACACACACACACATACACACACACACACACACAGAGAGAGAGAGAGAGAGAGAGAGAGAGAGAGAGAGAGAGAGAGAATTCTTATAAAGAGAGAGAGAGAGAGAGAGAGAGAGAGAGAGAGAGAGAGATCCGAGGGGCTCTTTCAGCCATTGCGCATTGAATACAGACTAAGGATAGAGCCTCAGGGACATAGCTATGACTCACATCATTCCAGACAAGGGTGGAAGCATCAGATAATTAAGTACAAGAAGGTGCATACTGGGGCAACTGAGGCAGCCATCCGGCTCAAGTCACCAATAACAGACCAAGTGCGTCCCCTGTTCTTTTCTTCACAACAGAGCAAGCAGTCTGGCTAAGTCGGGGAGAGAGTGTCTGCTTGCTCTTCAGGTTTTGTAGCTCACTGCTTACTACACAGGACATGTCGATGCATTAACGGTGGCCAGAATCTGTGTCTGAGAAGCTGACCTGTCGTGGATTATATCTTGGCTGTTCTACTCACTACCTGTCTGTGCGATTGATCTCAGGCAAGTGATATCCGTTTCTCCCTATCTGGGAAATGGGGTTAAGAAAATATCTCCCTCAGAGGGAGCGATGGCTTCAGTTCCTATCTGTAGAATGCTTTAAACACTGCCTGCCACACAGTAAGTGCTTAGTTTGTGTCAGTCTTCCCTGAAGGTGCTGGAAAAGTAACTAAGCGCAGACTTGTCTCTTCCTGGAGCTGTGGTCGGAAATACATGTGGTCAGAAACACAAGAGGAAGAAACATAGAATGAGACAAAGTGGCAGGGGCACTGGGCCGGGGGTAGGTAGTATGGATGGCTGGTGTGTTGGTATGCTTTAGTGAGGCAAGGAGGTGAGCCAGCTCCGGGAATACAGAGTTAGACAGATCTGAGGCTGGGGAGGACGGCCTTGGACACTCAGCACAGGAAGTTTTACTCTCAGGAGCGTGGGAACTGTTCTAGTGTGACTTGATCTTAAAGTTGGGAAACCAGGCTTGCGGCTTGCGTAACTTCATCTGGAAGACTGTTCTGGGAGAAAGGAAGCAGACCAGTGTCTGCAGAGGACTAGGAGGCCAGGCTGGCGGGGCTGGTCAGGCATGCGGCTTATCAAAGGAGCAGGCTGGGTGCTGCTCACTCTGGGAGGCTCCTGATAGCCAGTTCCTTAGAAATGCATAAGAAAGCTAGTGATGCCTGGGCACCAAGGGAAAACTTCTCTGTCTGATCTTGACTCCATGTTCAGAAATCAGCATTCTGACCAGCATTTAGAAAGATAGGTCAGGTTGAGTCTGCAAAGGGTCTAGACTAAAGGTGACTGTGCCCCAGTGCCACCATGAATTGTCCTGTAAATGTGGAATGGCACCTGCTCTCCAGAGCACAGACCCTTTATTCTAACCCAAGGAGTGCTCTATGCCATTTTGTTGTTTTGTTTGTTTGTTTGTTTTTCTTTCCTTTTTGAGGTGACAGTGATATCCTTTGCTAGGCTGTCTGCATTTTCATTATAGACTCTGGTCCTGTGCTAACACCACCATGGCTGCCAGGCACATAGCTGCCAGCTCATGAGCATCAGAAGCAGGTCCAACCTAAGACTGCAAAATAAAAGGCAGTGTAAGATCCTGTATGTGCAGGACACAGTTCGCTAAGCACGTATACATGTTCCACAGGCACACATACATCCTGGGTCAATTTTACATTGCTTACACATTACAATTATGTTTTGAACACATTGGGGTCAATATGGATTTTAACCTGAATTTCATGCCTTTCTTTTTCTCTCATTCTCATTGGGATACTTGACAATTTAAAAACCATCTCTATGGTTTTGAGCTCCTGCTTATTTGAAAGCACTGTTTCAGACGATAAGACACAGTCAAGATGTTGAGTGTGCACACACGCCTTTAATCCCAGTACTTTGGAAGCAGAGGCAAGTGGATCTGTGAGTTCAAGGCCAGCCTGGTCTACAGAGTAAATTCTAGGAGAGCCAGAACTATAGAGTTCCCCCCCACACACACACACCTGTGCTGACACAGACATTTATAGGGCTGGGTGGGGTAAGGACTGAGGGCACAAAGACTGTTTTTAAAATTCATGTTTCATGTGCATAAGTGTCTATCCTACATGGGATCATGTGCATCATGCTTGTGTATGTGCGTGGTGTCTTCAGAGGTCAGAAGAGAGCATCACTTTTTGCATCGCTGTGATCAAATACCCCCTGGAACTAGAGTTATAATATTTATTTTCTTTTTATTAGCAAATGCTATTCAAGAGCTCTCCCAAATGAGTCCCTCCATGAGTCCCTGCAGTTGCATTCTAAAAAAAATGTTTCTCAGATAGAGTCACATCTGTGCTGACCAACCTAGACTTTGAGGCTGAAGGGATGTATGCCTTCTGCATTCTTTCTGGGGCATTCCAGGTTTTGTTGTCACAATGTCAGCTGCTGAGGGAGACGGGCTTTGAGATGCTAAGAGGTGGATCTTACCTCCGTGGGAATCCAGGCCTCACTTAGGACTGAGGCAGCTCACAGTCTCACAGTCACCCACATCAGTGCCGCATTATGAGGCTGGATAATTACCGTGGTGAACATGTTGCTACAGCCTTGTCATTCAGCTTCCTACATCTTCTGTTTGTATGTAAGCCTGACATGCTGCTCTTGCTGCTTAGGGGATAGTGGAAGAGTCCATCCATCCATCCATCCATCCATCTATCCATCCATCCATTATTGGTTACCCTTTTGCATCACCGTGGCCAAATACTGGACAACTAGCATCTTAAGTGAGAATGGGTTAATTTTGGCTCCCATTTTGATGGTACAGTCCTTCATGGTGGAGAAAGCATAGAGTTAGGGGTAGCCTGGCAACTTTATGGCAACAACCAGGAAGCAGAGAAAGAACAATGTTGGTGCTCATCTCTCTCTTTTTTCTTAAGTTTTTTTTTAAAAATTAATTTTATTTACATGCATATATGTGTACCAGCTTGTCTGTGTACCATCCTTAGAAGCCAGAAAATGGTGTTGGATGGATCCTCTGGAACTGGGCTTACAGGCAGCCATGAGCCTGTAACTGAGAACTAAACCCTGGTCATTTGCAAGAACAGCAAGTGATTTTAACCACTAACCTGGCCTCCACCTGCTTCTTCTCTCTTTTTTTATTTAGTTTGAGATACCAGCTCATCTTTTACATTCATCGTACTCCTCAATTAATGTCCTCTGGAAAAGTCCTCGCAGACACACTCAAAGGCCCTAGGTCTTCCCTCCCTCACCCTTTCTCCTCCCTTTCTTCCCCTCCCTTCCTTCCCCTTCTCTTTCTTCCCTTCCCTCCCGGTAGGGTCTCATGTACTAAGTAGTACAAGGCTGCTCTCAAACTGGCTATGTAACTAAGGAAGGTTTCGAACTCCTACCTCTCCTGTCTCCACCTCTCAAGTGCTGGGATTCCAAGTGTGTGCCATCACCTGGAGCTCAGATAATGTTTGCTGAGGAAACACTGGTGACAAGACAAAGCATCCACTTTAGAGTCAAGGTTAGGAAAGGTAGTGCAGGAATAGACAAATACACAGATCATTTCAAATAGCGTTAAGCACCGTGAAGAGCTGGTTCTGATGGTTCACATGGCAATTCCAGCCCTCCAGATGTGGAGCCTGAAGGGCCAGGAGTTCCAGATGAGTTTTATCTCTGTAGGGATTCTGGACAGCCTGGACAGACAAACATTAAGGTCTATGAAGAAATACCGAAGTTGGAGACATGGATCAGGGTTTAGGAGCACTTGGAAGCTCTTGCAGAGGAGTTTGGTTCCCAGCACCTACAGAACAACCTGTAATTCCAGTTCCAGAGGGATCCAATGTCCCTGGCTTCCAAGGGCTCCTGCACTCAGGTGTACATACCTGCATGTAGCCATACGTGCGCATGTGGGTGTGCATTTATGCATGCGTGTGTAATTGGTTTTTTTTGTTTTTTGTTTTATTTTGTTTTTTTTTTTGTTTGTTTGTTTTTTGTTTTGGTTTTTCGAGACAGGGTTTCTTTGTGTAGTTCTGGCTGTCCTGGAACTCTGTAGATCAGGCTGGCCTCGAACTCAGAAATCTGCCTGCCTCTGCCTCCCAAGTGCTGGGATTACAGGCGTTCGCCACCACCGCCCAGCGCATGTGTAATTGTTTACGATTAAAATATATAATTAAAAGTAAAAATATGTTTGTAAAGAGAAAAGCACAACGAGATAATGAGTGAGAGAATATCATGGGAGGGTGGTGGTGGTTAATGTCCTCTGAAGTGGGATGTGTGGAGAAAGGAGCAGTTAGCTCCGCCCCGTGGCTGTTCAGAGCTGCAGCAATAAGCTAGTGACTTCTAATTGCTCACTGAGTACTCAATGTCTCTGGTTTGCCCTGAGAAATGACACAATATAAAATACTCCTGGATTTCAAAAGCCTTCAACAAAACAGCGCTAATGTATCTTACTAACCGTCTTTCTACCAGGTGCAATGGCACACATCAGGCACAGATCGTGGATGAGGCAGGAGGAGAATCTTGAGTTTGAGGCTCACCTGAGCTACACACAGAGACTCTTGTCGCAGAAATCAACCCGGACGAGTTTGTTTTGCTGTTAGTTTTGTGTTGTGATAAGAATATTTTGGATTCATTAGAGTGACTAAATTACTAAACAATTTTCTTTTTATTTCTCCCCTCACCTTACTGTCTTTGTTCCTACGGGCTGAATCCAGCATCGTTGTGCTAGGAAAGGATTCTACTACTGAGCTCTACCTTCCAGGCTCATCTCTTTTTTTTCTTGGTTTTTCGAGACAGGGTTTCTCTGTATAGCCCGGGCTGTCCTGGAACTCACTCTGTAGACCAGGCTGGCCTCGAACTCAGAAATCCGCCTGCCTCTGCCTCCCAAGTGCTGGGATTAAAGGCGTGCACCACCACTGCCTGGCTCAGGCTCATCTCTTTTAATATAGCAAGTAACAAATGAATCTATGTGGCTTGCATTATACTTCTATTGGACAGCACTGATCTAGGACAAAAGCATGCTAAGCAGAGAGAATGATAGATCCAAAGGACCCGAGGCAGGAACTGAAGCATGCTGGGAGTCAAGTGGACCAGAGAAAGTCATAGAAAGGGAATAAGTTTAGGAAAATCTTTAGTGTGGCACAATACAGAGTTTTTTTTTTTGGTTTTGTTTTCTGTTTTTGTTTTTTGAGACAGTCTCATGTAGCCCAGATTGACACCCCAATTCACTATATATCCGAGAATGACCGTAAATACCTGGTCTTCCTTTCTCTACCTCCTGAGCCCTGGGCTCAGTGTGTGTGCTTACAAGTATGTGCCACCATGCCTGGCTTTATGCAGTGGTTCCTGCCTTCAGGAAGTAGTGTGTGTGTGTGTGGTGTGTGGTGGGAGTGGGAGAGTGAGAGGGTGGGGTTTGAGACAGGATATGGATGAACCCACTATGTAGCCCTAGCTGGTTTCGAACTATCAATCTTCCTGAGTGCTCAGAAGGAGGCATTTTTAAAATTAAAATATGCATTTATTCATTTTGTGTGTATCTGTGGGCAGGCACACCTGGAGGTCAGAGGACAGCTTGTGTGAATCACTTCTCTCCTTCTACCATGTAGGAGCATTGGTCATCTGGCTTGGGTGCAAGTTGCTGTTTCAGCTGAGCTATCTTGACAGCCCAGGAGGCCGAATTTTAATAAAAGTGTAGTGGGGAGAGTGGTTTAAGCAGGAAAAGGCATGGTTTGAATTACAGACTTCAGTAGCAGTCAAGAGGTCACTGTGGGTGGTGGGATGGAAAGGTAGATGGAAAGCAGGGCGGTTTTGGAGGCACGATAATGTTTGAACTAGGTTAATTTATATCCCTACACTGTCCTGGCTCTCAGTTTACCCATCTGTAAAATGAGGCTGATTGAGCTGTTGCTCATTAAAGCCCGCCCCCTCCCCCCCGACCTCCCCTCCCCCCGCATCCTGGGAGGCCCCCGCAGCCTTGCAAGAACGGCTGCCGACGTTAGGGGGCGCCCTATCGACGGCTCGGTGTTCAGCTGGCCAGGCCCAGGTACATAGCCACTCGATTGGTCGAGTCTAGCGCCCTAGTCACCGCCATTGAGGAGTGGCGGAGAGGAAGCACCTCGCAGAACCGGGCTTGGGTGGCAGCGACAGCGGTAGCTACAGCTACAGCGACAGGTAGGGGGGCGGCGGTCAGGGCCGAGGACCTCACGGGAAGCGGCCACGGGATGGAGCCGGCTGTGCTCCGACGGCCCGGCTCGGGGTCCGCGGCAGCCGGCCTCTCCTGGAGCCCGGGCGCCCTCGCGGGGACCCCGGAGCCCGAGTATCGCCGGCACTTCAGGCCCGGGCTCGGGGCACCGGTCCCTGCAGCCTGGAGACACTATTGGATTTTGGGTGTCACTTCTCCCTAGGCCTGATCCCAACGTGCGAGTGTCCCTTCAGCACACCCTTAGCGGGTCGCCGTCCCTTCCCTCAGTGCCTCCATCCCCTCTGGGGTCACCTTTTAGTGGGAATATCTGGCTTGGTTCCCGGGGTCCGACTGTTTCCCATTCCTCCTCCAGGTAGGGGACCCTTTGCCTCTCTTACCCCTAGAGAGTCATCTTCTCTAGACTTGGTGGCTCTGTCCCCTGTTGCTGCCAGGTTTGGGGTTCTGACAGCAGACCGCAGATATGGGAAGGCCAGGGAAGCTTCGCGTTCCTGTGGAGCCCCCGGCTTGACACCCACTTGGAGTTGTCCCCTTGTGGCAGAGCTCCTGGAATCCCTCAGCACTCAGCCCTAGCTGCCTGGCAGAGGGACTCTCCAGGTCCAATTGCCAATGCTTCCGATTCCCTGGTCTGGCCTCTTCTCGGGTGGGGCCTGGCTCAAGGTCATGTCCGGCTGTCTGCCCAGGCTGTGGGCTGAACCCAGATCCTCAGTGTCACCTGCTACACCAGATAGGGGAAGCCAGGTGGGGGTTATTGCCGGGCAGCTGCCTAGAAGTCCTGATGGACCCGAGCATATAAATACTCTGGGATTCTGGCCAGTCTGGCGGACCTTCCTGAAACCAGATTCCTTAAGGGAATCCTTGAAGTGGCCTCAAGCCTGCTCTAGATGCTTAGCAGAGCTAATGGATGCTTTCTGGCTTGGGACTCACACTGAGCAGAACATCTTAGGGCACTAACAGCTCATGCCTTTTAAATGTGTACTTTGTGTTCTTCCACACTGAGAATAAGTATGGTAGGGCCAGAACATGGGTACAAAATAGTTTCCTGAAAATGTAAATTTATTTTACACTTCGTGTGTGTGTTAGGGGGAGGGCAGCTGTCAGAAGACCACCTGTGGGAGTCTGTAGTCTCTTTTTAACCATATGGGTTCTGGGGATTAAGCTTAGGTCTTGGTAGCAAGTTTCTGTCACTCTCTGAGACATCGTGCTGGCCTGACAGTAGTTTCTCTTTACTGGGAAAACATCTGGAGTTGGCATTTTAGGGAGAGTTGGCTTTTAGAGCTGAAATTAATGGCAATAACAAAAATAAAGATTACTCTAACCTTGGCTCGGTGCCCATGTCTGTTTGTGGCTCACATAGTAAAACAAGGTAGTCAGTTTCACATTGTGTTTTTAATAGATTTACCTTGTTAAAATGACAGTAGAGAAATGTCTCTTTTATTTACAGTGAAGCATTTCTGATTAAAAATTAAAAATTGTTTTTGTGATCTTTTAAAACAAATGCTGACGAGTCTCCCCCAGATTCTTGGCTTTATGTCTGGAGCATAGCTCCCCCACCCCCACTCCCAAATCTTTTGAAAGAAATGAGACAATAAGGTACGTTTTCTGCAAAATGTTTCAATAATATTGTTGAGACAGGGTCTCAATAAGTAGCCCTGGCTGGCCTGGTGCTCCCTGTGTAGACTAGATGATTCGCCTTAAAGATTGCCCGCCTCTTCTTCCCTCGTGCTGGAATTAAAGATGTGGCCCATCATCCTGAAGAGTTAATTGATCTTTTAACTGTCCCTGATTACAATTATGTCTTGCATGGAAGTGCTAGATACTACTAAAAAGTAAATATCAAACTTCCCTGGAAGCTGGGTCAACTCTTTCGGGGCTTTTACTTTGGGTCTGCTTGAGTTGTTAGCTTTTTCCTTGGGGTAAGTGTATCTCCTGGCATTAAGATAAATCGCTAGTCATGGGGCAAAGTACTTGGAAAGGATCCTGAAAATAGTCTGGTTCCAAGTGGGACACATGCCACAGGAAATCTGGAATGTCTGGTGTGGTGGCTGGTGACCAATGTGATGGCCTAGAGCAAAATTTACACTTACTGGAGTTCTTATTGGAATCCACTAGACCAGTGATCTGAGAACCCATCTGAACTTTTGTTTTGAGACTGGGTATATAGGCCTTGGCTGTTCTAGAACTAGTATGTAGACCAGGCTGCCCTTAACCTCACAGGTCTGTCTGCCTCTGCCTGTCAGTGCCGAAATAGAGGCCTGCACCACCATTCTTGCCTCTCGCTTAAACTCTCTTTTATGTCTCAGTCTTTTTCATGCTCACTTAAAAAAATCTTTATTTTTGTGTGTATGTGTGCATTGAGTCTGTGTGTGGAGGTTAAAGGACAACTTTCTGGAGCCAATTCTCTCCTGTGTGTGGGTCCTAGGGATGGAATTCAGGCTTTCAAGTTGGTAGCAGGTACCTTTATCCCTTAAGCTATTTGGATGGCCCTCAAGTTAGCTGTTTGTAATAGTAAAAATATCTATGTAACTTCAGGCAAAACTGTTTTTAAAATTTATTTTCTATTATGAGTGTTTTGCCTGTATAAATGTCCGTGTACCACATGGGTGCCTGGTGCCTATGGAGGACCAAAGAGGGCATCAGATTCCTTGGAACTGGAGCTACAGATGGTTGTGAGCTACCAGGTGGATGCTGGGAATTGATTGAACTTGCGTCTCTGGAAGAGCAGCCAGTGCTCTTAACCAATGAGCCATGACTCCAGCTGCCCAGTGGAACACTTTTACAAATACTAGCTAAAGTATCATTCACATACTTACAGCACATGAAAGGAAAACTGACTTCAATTGCCAGTCAGTATTCTGATAAGCGTTAGAGTGTTTTTTAAGTATGTGTTTAAAAGACTAATGTATATTTTTAAAATAACACTGGCAAACACAATATTATACTCCTAATTGTAACAAGCAGTTGTGATTCAGTACTGAATCTAAATGCTGAACCCATCCATAGCCAGAGCATTTGTGGTGTTTGCCTTTGTTGGCTAAAATAGTCATTAGGTCAGCATCAATGATACTGAAGATTAGTGATAAGGCTGGACACGTACTAAGTGGGTAGGGTGCTTGCCTAGTGTGTCTGAAGCCCTAGGATCAATTCCCAGCACCACATACACCATATGCGATGGTGCAAACTTGTTATCCCAGCACCTCCTAAAAAAGTGAAGACAAGAGAGTTAGAAGTTTGAGGTTTTATCCTCAGCTATGTGGTGAGGTCAAGACCAGCCTTGGATATATTAGACTCTGGTCTAAAAAAAAAACAATAAAAGGATTAGTGATAAAGCATTGCCTTTCGCTTCCATTTAGAAAATTTTATGAATGAACCTAATGAATAAATTTGCTAATTTTAATTAGGGCACTCTAACTAATGTTGTAGAGTGTGAATTTTATTCACATAGCTTCTTGAACATTTTTGCTTTGATCTAGTTTCATGGTTTTTAGCATTTGGGGTAGATTGAGTCTTTGCTGATTGGGGTTGTCATGGGTACTGTAAGATGCTTATCAGCTTCTACAGGCCCTTCTCACAAGATAGTCATAGCAATATCTGAAGTAACAATAATCAAAAATGTCTTCACAGAACTGGAGAGATGGCAGTGGTTAAGAACACTAGTCTTGCAGAGGAATTGGGTTTGGTTCTAGCACCCACCTGGAGGCTCATAACCTTCTGTTAACTCCAGTTCCAGGTACCCTTACGCCCTCTTCTGGCCCCCACAGGCTCCAGCATGCATATAGTGCACACACACATACATAAAATAGAAAAAGAAACATTTCAGATGTTGCTAGGTTTCCCCTGTGAGTGATGAAGCTCTGATGAGGGGAGTCTGGTCCCAAGTCTAGTTCCCAAAGGAAAGATTTCAGAGAACAGCTAACTTAAAAGGCTTAGCTTCAAATTGCAGGTGATTTTCAGAGTTTCAAAGTGACTGTCCCTGTAGCTGAAGATCAGTATGGTGTCAGTCTTCCTGAATCCAGCTCGAGGCAGGCAGAACAGGGAGTCAACACAGAAATACATCTGGGTTCTGTTTTGTTGTTGTTTTGAGGCAGGAACTCATTATTTATCCCTGGCTGTCCTGGAACTCTGGACCAGGCAGGTCTGGAACTCCCAGAAGTCTGCCTGCCTCTGCTTCCCAAGCGCCAGCATTCAGGGGGTGCCCGCTGCACCACACTGAGCTGTGCTTGCTAACCTCCTTTTATTGATTTCTTTTATAGATTCAGTGACCATGAGAGAGAGAAATAAAAGACTGATCCATGATTTCTAAGCACCTTTTTCTGAGGAAATAGTCATGTTGGAAGGTCTCGTGGCCTGGGTTCTCAATACCTACTTGGGGAAATATGTCAATAATCTGAACACTGACCAGCTATCGGTTGCACTTCTCAAAGGTAAGCACACTCATTTGTCTTCAGTACAATATGGTGTTTCCTTCTTTAAAAAAACCTAATTAATTAAAATTTTACATATATCATGTATGTATGAATGTCTGTCTGTCTGTGTGGGAAGGTATTGCATATGCCACGGTGCCCATGTGGAGGTCAGAGGACAACGTGTGTAAGTTGATTCTTTCCTTCTACCATGTGGGTTGGGGAGGGTGGTGTCAGACTCATGCTAGCGGCCTTCCTGCCCCTGCCCTAACCCACTGAGTCCCCTCCCCTGCCCTAATTTACCTGTGGGTTTATGTGAGTTATGAAGTAGCAACAAAATAATTTTGTGGTTGAGGACATGAGAATCTGTTTTAAAGGGTTGCAACATTATGATGGTTGAGAACCACTGGTTTAATATATATAGAAAAGGAAGATAGAGCTAGGTGTGCTATACACCTTTAATCCCAGTACGTGAGAGACATAGGCAGGTGGATTTCTATGAGTTCCAGGCTAGCCTGGTCTTCTTAGATTTCCAGGTAAGCCTGTTCTTCATATTGAGTTCTGAGCCAGCCAGGGATACAAAGTTAGACCCTTCCTTAAGAAGATTTGGCTGCCAGTAAGCAAAGTCAAAGCTGGTGGAGAGGAAGGAAGTGCGGTGTCCTGGGAACAGGGTTTGCCTAGGACCAGGCTGGAGGGAATGACAGCTTGTGGGTTTCCACACTCTGAGAGTAGGACCAGAACTTCCTTGTCTTGGACGCATTGTGTTCCAGGCGTTTCCCATCCTCAGGCTCGTCGGGATTGAGGGAGGTGGCTGTGGGAGCTAGTGTGGTTTGGTTGTCCTCTGCCCTCTCCTTCCTTTCTTTAGAGACAGAAATGGATTCTTTCCTCTCCCACTTTCCCTCTGTTCTTTGAAGGAAGCCAGTGGGAAGCAAAAGTGAAGAGTTTGCAGTAGTGTCAAGTTCTCGCTCTGAGACTTGTTGATGTGCCCGGGTACCTTGAGACTGCGTGGAGAGCACTGCAGGCTCCCTCACTCAGAGCAGAGTTAGGTGGTGCCATGTTGTTCACTAATGAGATGGAGCTTAAGGACGTGTGATGTAGATCTCGACGTACTAATGTCGGCTTTCTAGTTTCAGCACTCCGAGACAGAAGGTACCTTTTTTT